TTTTAGTTCAAATTTCACTGAAGGGACATATCCCAAACAAAGAATAATTCAAAAAGCTCCAGACAAGTGTGTCAATAAAGTCAGTAAAGATGTGGCTACTGCTGCTTAACATTTTTTTTATGCTTTAAAGAAGTTGCCAGAGATAGACATTAGATGCTTGAGGGTCCCTCTGAAAGATGAAGGGTCATTAGTGGGAGGTACCAGCTTTGCAGCCATTTGACCAACAGACACTGTACATGGCTATGACATTTCTCTTAAAATTTTGGAACCTATACACTCTTCCCAGCACAATTCTTTAAAGATTATCTGGAGGAAATTATAAAAGGATACGGAGAATTGTTCTTCACTCCTCATTTCCTATGTAGCCTAGAAATTAAAATGTGCTGAACCTACTGATGTACAGTGTTGACTGCTGAGGTTCTTTTGTGGCTTTCTAAATGTGATGATAGCAATAATATCCTCTTTATTTTTCATGTTCAGAAAGGAGAACTCATTCTTTAAATATTGCACTGTTACATCCTTTGGAATGGATGGTGGTAAGAATTCAACTACACAGGATTCAATATCTTGTTAATTTAGCAGATATTTGCCTCTAATTTTGGATCTTTAAAAGATAACATATCAAGAGACATTCTTTTTAACTCTTGTGGTGTACAGCTCCAGCATCCTACTAGATTTCACAAAATAATCAAGGCTGGAATGGCTATGAAATTGTTTGGAAAACAAATGTTTCTCGGTGTCTCAGGAAAGACAAAGAAAATGTTTGTTGTTCAGGTGTGTAGTATTCTTCTTTCTGGAATCATTACTAACCCAAAGCTGCAGCAGGGCACTAAAGGGCATTACTGAGCTGAAAGAGTACTTCCTCTGTAGTCATAAAATATTCAAGACCAATTTTTTGAAAGAATAGACTGAACACTAGTTATCTGACCAAATTCTGGCCTAGGTTATTGCACTTTGCCTACCTATATTTAGCCTGTAATGTCAGTTATATTCTGTATTTATTCCTTTCTCTAAACTGTATCTGTGGTATTGCCATCTGCATCCATTAAACTCAACTTCTCATGTCACTTCTTTACATACTCATATTTCATGGCCAGTGTTATCCATTCCTAAGTTGAGGAACACAGGGATATCGAATCTAATATTGGAGAATAGCAATGAACAGAAGAGGGGAATTTAAGAAGTATTTTCTAGTCCTTGACGTTCCTAAGTGTAGTTTGAAAATGTAAATGAATAGCTGAATTGCAGATTTGCAATTATTTTCTTATTTTTTTGTTTAACTTCTGAAATTCTTCTCCACCTGTACCTGCATTTATAGAAGAAACCAGATCAACTTGCATTCACGGGAAGGACTGTCACCCAGGGTGCTGCTGATGGTGCTGGACAAGCTACAGACTCTGAAGCAGCTGGTGGCCAGCACTGCTGCCAACCTTCCTAGTAGACAGTCTCTGGCCAACCTGCAGGAGATGGGTGGACTGAGCCAATGACCACCAGCCACAAGCTCCTGCGTCTTGACTCGTGTGCTGGCAACATCAAAGAGCACCATCCAGTTACTTAAATGCTCTGCTCCATTTTCAAATCTCTGAAGATGAGAAGACAATAGTAACCCATTTTTTAGGAAACAACAAAAATTCACTAATTCACCAGAAAGTTCTCAAAACCTCCTGTTCACAGGGTTTACACATCAATCATCCTTCCCTATGCAATCTCCTATAGCCTTTCACCTTTGCATCCTTCTTAATCCTACCAAGTACAGCTTCTTCCTCCTCATCTGAATTATTATTCATATTCCTTTTTTACAACTTCTTTTGTAGGTGATCTTCTTCCTTCTTTAATCTGGACTTAAGTACAGCCTTTTGGGACAGTGAATGCTACACCTGGAGAACTAAAGAAAAACACAGAGAAAACCATTTGTAACAAAGTGATACAAATTATTATTAATAGGAAAAGCTACCTAGCAGCTAGTATGTTTCTCTCCAAAATGCCAAATTGGGTGTCAGTTTTTACAAGTATCAGTTTTGTATTTTAAAGCAATACATCTATTTCTTCATCTAACCCTTCCTTCTTGCTCTGCTGAGTCATTTCAGTTTTAAGAGATATGGGATTTAAAGATGCTTATTTTTTTAGTTTTCCAAGATGTCTCAGTTTGGTTCTTCCCACTGTAGTTATAACTGCAGAAGTGGCTGGGAAAAATATTATCTGTGCTGGTTTGTAGAGCATTTTGCAACAAAAGATGCTCTTTGAGTGGATGCTTGTTGTATTCATAGAAGGCTCTGAAATTTGAAATATGAATGTTGCCATTTTCCATTTTAGTAAATACTGTGCATTCATGGACTTCCTTTCCCATATACTTTTCAACTCCAACAACCTATGATTTCAATAAAACCAAACAGCACAAATGAATGAATCAGAATCTGTCCATATTTGAGGTGTTTCATTCGTACTGTCAGTGTCATTTCAACTGTTGTGTTAATGAAAAAAACAATTCTCCAAAACGAGCATGATTTGAAGAAATAGTGAGGAATAGATGAAACAGTGAGGAATAGGTGAGTATCAGTTCTAGGGGGATAGAGACAGTAATTAGAAGTGATTGCTGATGACTCCTCTGAGATCCATTCTTCCAAATGAAACCGGGGCAGAATTTTTGGAAAATGTTTTGTTCAGTATTAAGATTCTTCTGAAGCCAAAACTCAACACCCCTCTTTATCCCTGGACACTTGAAAGGATGTAGTTTCAGGCTAGGCTCCTTATTATGCATGTTCTTGCTTTGTGTGTCCAGGCAGTTTAATGTAAAAGATTAACATTTTTCTCAACATTTTCTTCTTTTTTCTGAATAAAATAATGTAACACCTACACTTGCATTGCCTTTAGAGTAAAAAGCACTTCTTTATTTCCAGGCTACATTTGTGGCTATCGTATGGGATGTTGTTCCTCTTGGATGCGCTACAGCTAAACTGTTTCCATAGAAACATTCTGCAATTCATCTCTCTAAATGTCACATGGACAGACGTTTATGTTAAAATGATTGATAAATGGCTCACTCCTAGCTTTACCGAGTCCATGCGACTGAGAACTTTTTCGCTGGAGAAAAAACATACGTCCTTATTATGGATAATGCAGATTTGATTTGCAAAATATGAAGTGTTACTTTAGAAGGCTTGTGCTGTGTTTGTAAGGAGATCGATTTGGGCTGCCATCTGGAAACTGTACTCCAAGAGGACAGGGAGAAATGTTTGCTTTGTGACTAAACATGCTGATTAATAGTCTGCACTTTAACTGGTCTGGGTCAAATCCTTACAGGGAAATCTGCAAAATCTCTTCTCAACATCGTGCAAAAGATTTTTTTTCCCCACTCAGTTTTGGTTGTCGAACAGCATAGGGGCTTCCCAGAGCAAAAGGTGGTAATTTTTGTGCTTAGGAAAAAAAACACACCGTGTGCTGCCTGCCCAGCCTGGATGCCTTGACCTGGCAGGGAGCTTTCCCTGCCTTGCTGCGCACTGCAGGGTCAGTGGCCACTGCATGGCCTTGAAAAATCGCTGCCTTCTCCGAGATGCCTGCCGCCCTCAGCAGGTGCCTGCAGCCCCCCCAGCCTCAGGGAGGCCTCAGGACCGAGAGAGGAGCCGCAAGGCCACCCTTTCCCTTCTAGTTGCAGTCCTGTCTTCAAACCATGCGTGTGGTCCTAGGCACATGCTGCCAAAACCAGGGTGCCTTTTATTCCGTGGGTAATACGGTAACAGCAACAGCCTATGAAATACACGGGTGCACTTCCACTAAATAATAAATAAGTCTTATCAGCTGCCGTTTAAGACCGTGGAGGGGCAATAGTGCTTTTATTGCTCCGTGAATACCTAAATTTAAGACTTCTCTTGGCGTTTCTCC